AATTACCACTGTCTTGATATATACTACCAATATATAACTTGTATTACTGTGCTAATTATGAGCATCAAACCTCGCAACTTTTATTTCGATTCTTTTTTTTYCTTTTTTTTKCTGGAAACTTCCGTCGGCGTTTCTTCGTGTGAGTGATTACATTCTGCCCTTTGAAGAACTTTGTCGTTTTTCGGCCACTTGAAACAAATTTTCCCTGTGGGATACCTTCTTAATTATATATTATAATTTCGCTCTAGATCTAAGAAAAAAATTGCTTCGTTTTTTTTATGGTTTTAAAAAAGCCCCAATATCGATCCCTGAGGAACACCCTAGATTTGCTATATGTCATATGTCTTTTATCTGTATTAGCTATCTGTTTATCATTCTTATTCAAAGCGAGATTTCAATCTCAATAGACAGATAATTTTATATAGCTGTTTAGAAAAGATGATGTTAGATCAATTTTTGTGAGATGTTTGAGTCTCTGGTGGCAACGACGGAGAGGATTTGCGCCGTACACCGTACACGCGCGTCTGTCTCGTGGACGCGATGCCTGCTCTCGCCCATCCTAGATCCAAGAGGTTTTCTCCGGGTTTTCCAAGATTTCTCCCTCCACTAAACCAAACAAACCTAGAAATTTCACTTAATTCGACTTTTTTAGGAGACAAAATGTCTTTGACTTTTGAATTTTCACGGATGTTTTAAAGATTTTACTGCAACTTAATTTTCGGTGCTGTTTTTCTAGTTGTTGTTGTTTTTTTTTTTTTCCCAGTTTACTAGCCGACGCAGAGCATTATCTAATAGCTGAGCGACTCAGTTCCATAGGGATGGGTGGAAAATGGTTGGAATGGTTTAAATGTCATAAACTTTGTCCGTATATCTAAGAAGATCAAACCGATAAGCACGTAAAAGTAAAATAAGATATTAATACCAATGACAGCAAAATAATTAGGTGAATGACAGAAATCAAACGATTTCTAACACACAAATAAWGTTCAATCAAGATTTTGCACACGGAAAATATAGAAAATTTAAGTAAAAACAATCAAAATGGATTTTTCTAAGTCTGTAAATTATTTCCTAATTATTTTAACTTACCTCGAAATTGAAAATTATTCTAAAACAACTGTAATTTTGGAAAAGTRGGTGAAAAGTAGGATTATTCTGTTCTTGCTGTAGCCATAACTTCGGTTTTTGATGGGATAATTGTCGATTTGTCTAATGAAAAATAATAGCCGGAAAGCAATTTCAATTTTACAGCAATGTTACGGTATCGTGTAATTAGAACATGTTTCCTACGCAGGCGTATTTATTACGATTATATGTTATACTCCAAGCCAATTTTCTTTGAGTGTTATTAAAACTTGTGCTAATACTACTTCCTCTTTAATATAAAACATATTAGGACTTCCTATTTAAACCTTACTTGATCTACTCACACGAATATAATGAGTATGGGTAAACGACGCACGAACACTTATCTATATATATCATGAAGTATAAGTAAATAAAAATAAAATAAAATAACCTCTGGGCTGAACTAAACCATGGCATTGCTAGCTCACGGATTGAACCCTGAAGCAACCTCTGGGCTGATCTAAGTCAGGGCATGGCTAWCTCASAAATTGAACCCTGAATTAGAAACAACCTTTGGGTTGATCTAGGTCAGGTCATGGCTAGGCCAACTCGCACTTCGAACCCTGTAACGACCTTTGGGCTGCATGAATATTTCAAGTCAGCGATGACCAACAAATCGAATTGGTATTTTGGTTTTTGCGGAGGGAGGAACTTAACCCATATGGAAGAAAACCCCTCGAATACCCTAMCAACCTCTACTCACAGGTAACGCCGAATCTCGGAATCAAACTCAAGACCCCAGAATAGGACTGAAGTGGATGACACTGACCTTTGATGTCGGCTTGGCCTTCCCTCGTCGGAAATATGGTACTTTTGCCGTCGATATCATAACTAATATTTAACTGGCACTCTACAAGTGTAACGTGCGCTCTGATTGGTTGATTGGGTATCAATATAATTGACATATCTATGACGTAAGGATTACTGTTCACCAGATACTCACATTATTGGCTGATTAACAACTTTGAAACCGAAATATATTGCAGCTAATATTCTAGCTTCCGAATTACTGAATTCTCATCAGCTTAAGGTTACAAGATCGGGTTAATTTTGTGGAAATTTTTTWATTTTTTTTAACTGTCTGTGCTGTTGAAGTTGTTCTATAGCCCGGGAAGCAGATCTCTGGCACGGGTGTTCACATCGGAACATATCGGAACATTGGAGAAAAAAACGTGTGCTCGTATGAATTTGTATATATATTTCTTTTTGGTTCAGCTCTAAAAATTAAAAAAATAAACTTTGTCTCTAGCCAGAGGACCAAATTACCAAACGAACAATAGCACAAGATATCACTGACAGCAAAGTAAGTGAAACGATGATGAACGTCCGAAGGCAAACCTTATCTACCTCACAAATAAAGTGTATCAGGATTTTGCACACGGAACATATAGTAAAAGCAAGCCCCCATCATAATGGGATTTCTTTACGAAAAAAACCTGGTTTCCAAGCGGGTATTGAGTATAGAAAAAGAATGAAAAAATAAGCTTTTTTGAAAGTCTTCGGTTTACGAGAGAGAGAGCAGTTGGACGGACTCAAGTGCAGTCTCGGCATGCAGCTTAAGACATATTGCTGTCGTTGCCGCTGTCAAGGGCTAGACTTGCATGTAGTAAGTAAAGCAGGGCTAAAAAATCACTGCTCCTTGGCAGAAAAATATGGAAGTGAAAGGCGATACGCAAGATCTTACATAATCAGTTGCGATCTTTTTCAACCTTGCAACAAACTGTTCAACTCGAAATGCAAATTTCCGGCCATCAAAACTCACTTAATCTTTACATCAATCTCTGGACATTAGGACCGCGAAAATTTACTAGTAAATAACAATTTGATTTATATTAAATACTTACGACTACTGTAATAGTATTATTAGATTCGGCTTTAGTTTTCTGAGAGAAAAACTTCTGGGGGAAATAGCCAGTCTTGTAGTGTGCGGTTCCGGCGTTCGCTGGTTTTCATTCCTCTTCCCTAAGTAGCTTCAGTACGATTTCTATATTTTTACAGGCAGGTGTAAACAGCCTCGAATATAATTCATTCAATAAAGCTTAGTTTTATTGCTATATTTTGTATATTATTCATTTAAAACTAGAGCTCTCAGCATGTTCAACTGATGTTGACCAGCCGGGAAGGCGATGTCAGGCTTTGACTTCCTACCAAAATAATTACTTCTTTAACTTGAAGTCTTGAATGTAAACATCTTAAGACTGTTTTAAAGTTTTCATGGCAGATTTAGTTGAAAAAACACTTGAAATCCATTTTGTAAAAAAATACACACTATATAAGAAGCAAAAATAATCAATGAAAACAAAAAAAACTTCCAATTAATTTGGTACTAATTTGGCGGCGTTCCAATATTCCAAGATAAAAGAATAGCTTGAATGACTTGTATTTCATATCTTTATTCTTCATATGTTGTTGTTGTTGTTGAGATATTTAGTATTTTTTGTGGTCGACGAAACCATTTTTATTAAAAAAACACCACATTATTCATGTTTGGATGTATGTTCACAATGCCTTTCGGTCGTACAATCACCGATCGCCATCTGCTATTCGCCCCTTCAAYCTTTTTCGAAATAGYTGTATTCAAAACTGATTCGGGCAAAGTTTTTCCGTATCCAGGACTACAACTTTAAGACGGTAATTAACCTACCTCTATATATTATACATTAGTTGAAAAAGAAAGAAGAAATCAAGGAAGGCACAAAGATCGAAAGAAACTCAAGTGAGCGAAAAATATATCGAAACCTTGGAGGAAAACTTCAAACGAATTAAAAAATAACTATCTCGATGCCAAGAAACAGGATTATCATTGGGGTTTTCAATTAACTATCGGGCAACCGTCAAAGCGATATAATCTCTTTTCATAGTAATATATATTGCAAAATTAAAATATATAGTCATTTAAATTGAACAATTCTATATATGCTGTTAAAAAGTTTTGCTAATCCCGGAAGTGCAAGGTACAGAACACTGAATTGGTTTCAATCAATGACTAAAGTCTCGGTAGGATTTTTATATTTGAATAATAGCGTTATTTGGGTCCATCAAATAAATAAAAAAATTTGTCATAAAAATAAATGGACTATTAAAAAGAAAAAAAGTACGAAATGTAACCAATTTGAAACATGAAAACATGTAACAGGGATTTCTCTTTCTTTTCGTAGTATTTAGCTTTACAGAATTCAATCTTTCTAACCTTATTTGAGTTTGTTTCCAAAGCCTTGTTACGGAGTCGTGTCAATGTAATACTTTCCGGAAACCGAAAAGTTAAACACTTGCTGCGATCTTTGCGCTCTAAAAAAATCAGGAATATTTCAAGCCAAGTTAATGATGGGACGTCTTTTCTGAGAAAACAAAAGTAAAAAATATTGAAAGCTGTCTTTCCAAGCAAAAGTATCTTCTTGTATGAAGAAAAAAAAAACAACACACGTACACTGAGCAAAGAGTAAAAAACTGGAAATACACACCCGATTTGAATATTACAACTTTTGATTTCCAAAGTGTACGTGTTGCTAGGGCCAAAAATAAGGATTTTTCCAGCATATGCAATTGCTTTGTAGTTGAAACTACGCTTTGTAAACCGAAACTCGACACCACTGGCTTCTTGTAAAACATTTTTACCTTTGCAGTACAGACGATAAGCCCCCATTATCACAGCTAAATGGAGAATATTTAGCTTAAGACTTCACTTCGTGAGACGACGCCACCGTTTGCAGCTGTTTCTGACTTGAAAACGAAAGTCAAGGCCTTAAAACTAACTTGCATGGCCTTAACCTTTCTGCTTATTGAAACTAAAATATAATTCCTCATCAAATTAGATAGTTGCCTTAGATTTATTACAGGCTCCAAAAAACTTCCCTCTGCACTCAAAACAAAAACTGAATTAGTCTAAATTGCAAGTGATATTATTGACTATTTAGTTGGGGTATCAACCATCGTGTCAAGTAAATATTCCGGCTTTTCAAAGCGATATGTCTTTATACTACAATGATTTCACTTAGTTAAGCAAATACATTGACTGGATGCAAGACCGAGAAGTCGACATATTCAAGCGAGAATGATGCGTATCAAATGAATTTTTATACTCGGAATTTATTTAGATATCTTTAAGGTTTATTTTTTAGGTATATTTTTCTGCTTATTTGGTCTTGATTAAAAATTATAATTATATTTGCTTAGGAAGGGAATTATAGACATAATCCTTTTGGCAATCAGTTTTTCCAACAGTTTTAGTAAAACAAGGCCAGTAATTGGTTCCTTAGCGACAAGAGTTGATTTAGTAAAGTATTTTTGCTATAAAGTGTTTTCCCATTAACCGCGCGGGGATACTGAAAGCAGAGAATAAATTTGGTTACAAAAAGCTCCCCCCTCCCCCCCCCCTAAAAACTATTGAAAGCTGCATCAAACCTGATTGACTGGTTTTCAATTACAAAAAGCTAGAGATGTTCTCATTATTCTTTTCTGACGAGGTGATATATACCACTGCTTTATTGACTGAGTTTGTTTTTACAGTTACAACTTTCAAACAAATTAAAAATTAAAACAAAAACAAACAAAAAAACGATTGATTTTACAGTAACCACTACTAAAAACGCCGATCTCCATTCCGCCATTACGTACTTTTTGGAAAAAGGGCGCTAATCCCCGGTCCGCTAATCCCCGGCCCGCTAATCCCCGGTCCTTCAAAAATAAACGTTTATATTTAAAGTTATTTTGCCGGAAAAACCTTTTGGTTCTTCCCATTGTGATTTTTTTTTCAAAAATACGGAGGGAATTTGCGGGCTTTTCTGACTGGACAAAACATTCTACGGTTTTCCAAACCGGTTGACGTCACCGCACTTATTCTACGCTTGGGCTACCTGTGGTTTTTCAAATCCAAGATGGCGTCCGTGCAGAAGGAAGTTACTCACTTGTTATTCTATTATTAGACCATTTCGTAATCCTCACACCACTATTCTACCATTCTTTCTGCTCCAAAAAATGGATGACAACGCTCCAGATAAAATAAAGTCCTACCACGACGAAGCCTTCAGGTAAATAAGACATTTTTTGAATATATTTTCACATTTGTTCAAGTTTGTTCCTATGTCGACATTAGCGTATGAAAAATTTATAATAATAAATAAGTTTCAGGACTYTATTAAATTAAAATTCAAATAAAAACTCAAATTTTTGGTCAAAATATTCTTTTTATACAATATGAGACTTACTTTAAATRCAATTTAAGCTTAAGCTTATTTATAGATTACTAAATATTGGAATCCAGGTTATTATTTACGAACTTTGTTGTCATTTTTCAGATATATCAATCAAGCTCTTACTTTTGACGAAAAGGGAGATGCAAAACAAGCCTTTCTACTATACAACAAAGGGCTTAGGCAACTTATCCTGGGTTCAAATCTATCATGTAGGGGCTCTGGACCACAGTTTGACCATGCCAAGAAAATGCAAGAAAAGATGAAATTGTAGGTTCAGCTGTCAGTAATTTTTTTTTCATATTTTATACGCTAAGAATATTATTTATAACTAAATTTATTGAATCAGGACAAAAGATCAAGTTGAAGMTAGAGTAGCTGCATTACAGTCACCRTCCRGTGATGCAGTACCACAGAAATCACAGCCTACTGAGAATGGAGTTGAACACCATACCCTGTCAACCTTGTCTCAAGGTGCTTTGTGGGARGACGTCAATGAGCTTCTCGTTCTTGAAGAAGGTTAGTATTTACTGTTCTTTATGAACTTGTATGGAGGAACTTCATGGCAGCCATGTTGTAGCAAAACTAAAGGGAAATGAAATATCTTAACTAGAGAACGCGTTGTTAGGGAAAACCATCCTGGAAGAAAGAGAACAGGAATAGGCCCTTTGCAGTTAACGGACACGTGTCTGTACTGGAATGCAAATTTTTTGTTTTTATATTAAATTGGTGATTCTTTTTAGCTACTTGTAAAGAACTGGATGAAACGATGTGTAACCAGTGTGTTATGAAATGTAGTTTTATTACAATCTCTCGAAACAGGTTGTAGAAAGTTTGTTTGCTCACCAGTATATTTCACCCATGGGAATCATGATATTCATTCGTTTGCTCTCAGTGAATTAATCAGCACGTGGTTGTTTAGCTGCAAAGGGCCTATCAAACCAGGAACTGTAGAGATGTGAGCCAAGTGACCTCTCTTTAGACCAGCCTTGATTCAATCAAATATATATCATTAATTATAATCGATAATAATCAGTAACCAGGAACTGTATGTGTGCCTAGTGCCCTCTCTTTAGACCGGCCTTGATTCCATCAAATATATATAATATATATTAATAATAATCATATCTTTATCATTCACAAGATAAAACGATCAGCCAAAACAAATTTCATCATCGTATGCCTACCTATATTTTATTTTTATACTTATTTATTTCATGCATGTACTAGTTATAACAAGCCCTTATGGTGGAGTGTCGTCAGATTATTTCAGTTTATTTCATTATGTCTTTTTTTCTAGGTGTCAAGATGTTTTTTGTCAGTGAACTAGGAAATGTGACTACAATATCACAGCCACAAACRTTGCGAGCTTACCAGTTTGTGAAATATGAAGAAGGTAAAATATAGCTAGTAAAAAATAGCCATGGCCATATGCATTAGCAAGTTGGTTTGGGCTTCCTGTGTTTTTTGAGGGTATATTTTCCAGATGATCTGAAATAGTAATATATAAATGATGTCACTGCAAAACTGAGTTGTTAGAAAGACTACAAAAATTGACCAAAGAAAAACAAGAACATGCACGTCATTGCAAAAAAATATATAACTCGCAATACAAATTGTGTCCCTGCTACCAAGCCCTTATTAGCAACGTTATTCTTTTCATTTGGTGACCTGAAAATTCAAAATTTCAAGAGTAAAAGTGACACCTCAGTTTTGCAAATTTTCTCGATTTTGATTGGCTAACATTTTTTCTCAGATCAGCTGGTTAGACCTTAATATTGACAGCCAGACAGTGGAATATTAAAAGGGATCTGTGATGCACAGTCTGTCAGAATTATATTTATTTTCTGCATTCTACTAATTATTGT